ATACAAACAAACTTCCCAAGTGGAGCTTTGTGCTAATTTTCTAAATCAACCAATTTACTTTCTATAATTTTTATTTGCAGCGTTTCAACTTTTATAATGTCTAAGTGGATCATCGTGGCGTTACTATTAACCACACTCCTTGTCTCAGTTACGACTCAGGAACCCGACGAAGGTGCTGATGATGAAGAAGGTGTTGGAAAAGGTTTCTGTCTAGGTCTTGGACAAGTAGTAAGTTTATTTGTTTTAGTGGAAAAGAAAACCTATATAAACATTATTCTCTCTCTCTCTTAAAAGACTGTATCTGTTTATAAGAATTTACTTTCTGTATAACAGAATAAAGTGAAAGTATTTGAATATGGAACTTATAATAGTTTTTTTTATAATGGTCATCTCTCTTATTCTCTACTTTCTTAACTTGTATAACGTTGTGTTATGTTTAAAGTTTCGTTAATTAATTAGTGAATATATACTAACATTTATACATCTTGTCAGTGTCGATGCTGTTTTGGTCTTACCTGTAGAGGAAGATGTAGAAGATGGATAGGATGAAGCCTAAAACCAACATGAATGTCTCCAGCTAGATGCAAACAATTCATTATAATCCTTGAGCTACTAAAATATTAAGAAAACTCAAAATAATGGAGACATGTAACTTTTTACGTTTTATTCTTTGTTTTTTAAATCAAAAATATGTCCTATTTTTGATTAAAATAGTTTCATTGATAACAGCAAAATAAACTGTTTTTGATTTGTGTTTTTCACACATTTTAAAAAATTTCAGAAACACATGAAAGTATAGTGGATACTACCCAGATATCAAGTCGTAGTTATTATAACACTAAGCATAATGGTCAAGAAAATGTCTTTAGTACATGTTCTTTTAATGCGACTGAGCGGCGCATAGAATGGTTCTGAGTTTTTCTCAAGTACAAACTTTTATCTCATAACTCTGTTGTCTATTGACCGATTTGTGACATAATTATAGTTTTGGACTCAGGAAGTCAAACCCTTTCGATCGATATCTTTGACAACTCCAAATGTTTCATAGATTAATTTTATCCAATTCTACCTAAACGACTTTCAATATGAGGTAGTATGGTAGAGATCCTGATGCCTAATAAATTTGAATCGGGTGTACGCGCTTCCAAAGCTTGGTATTGATGGCAAACGAAAATATCTATTATATAAGGCTAAGTTTGTTTCTGTTTATTAGCACCTTTCAGCCCCTTTAATAGTCTGCCAACAAAGATATAGTTTAATGTCTGTGACGTCACATTCTTAGTGTCATTGAAAACTTTGTAATCTATTTTTTTTTCCACTGAGGATGGAAGGTTGGACTCCGGGGTGTGTAACCTCCTATGTAATTTCTGAAAAACTACCAAATCAGCACACCTTGACACAGTGATACATGAGGAAAGTCATAAGGGGAGTTAGAACCCCATCTAATCTATATAAACAAACGTCGATGTGTGTGTGTATCTGTTCCTTATACGTTTCCACATTTCTTGATTAATCAGTACCAAACTTGACACAATGATATACGATGACGCGAGGAAGGTCATGATGGGGGATATAGGTCCCCATCTAATTTTGGAAAACTACTAAATCAGCAAAATAGACGAAGTGATACAGGATGACACGAGGAAGGTCATGACAGTGGTGAAGGAGGAAAAGGTTTTATAGATTAATTTATTCTAATCCTGTATAAAAGAATTTCAAGTGCCACAGCTATTGAGGGTTCCCTCTTGTTGGTTAAAGAAGAAGTATCATGAGTTAATAACAATATTTATTATAGACTGCACGCCGTTTACAAGCCGATGAATAATTTTTATAATTATAGTTCTCATAAGACGTTAGTAGTAGGCATATTGTATTTATAACACTACATTCTTAATCTAGTCTCTGAGGGATTTTCGATAATTAGAAGAAAATATAATAATAACATTCCAAGCAAATTGTATTTGTCTCATCCATTACCGACAACGCGTTTCACTCGATGCTATATATAAGAAGTGTTCCAGAAGTGTATAATTGTTGTAGACAATGAAATAGTAATATTTCACGTAACAATGTACTAACGAGAACATTGTTAGCGATATATAAGACACAGTAATCGTCTTAATAAGTCAGTAGCAAATGAGAACTGAGATTTTCTAATAGATGTATACACCTAGGTACATGCGGTCACACCTGCCACGTATTTATATCAGTATGAAACTTTTTACTTCATTTCAACATTAAAGATATTTGAATGAAACTATGATGTTCTATGATGAATTCTGACGTAAGGATAAACGTTTCTTTTTACCTTTTTTTTTCAAAAAATATTTCTCTTCTAAATTAATGTATGAAAATAAAGTTAAACATTTATATTTCAATATTACAAGAGTAATGTTATTGTATTCAAGTTATGTAGAAAGATAAAATATTATATTCCTGTTATTAACTGTTTTGTGGTGCAATATTCTTCGAAGGAGAAACTGGTGTCTGAATTACAGTGTATTTGGGAAAAGATTTGGTTTTCAGTAGATGAAGCACGTGTCCTTTCTTGTTAGCTGAAGTTAAACCAAATAATGTTGAAACTTACAATTTATTATTTACACAATATGTTTGAAATCGAATGTAATTTGTTTCCAATAATTGTACAATATAATAATAAAGACACATTTTATCAGAAATAGGCTTCAATATTAGCAAATAAATTTCTACAAAGTGAAATATTTTTATTTGTTTCCTCTTTGACAATGATATATATGTATTTATATCTGGAATTCTGTGTTAAGTGAAAATCCACGATTAATATACATTTATATCTAAAATTGTATTCAAAAGATTTGATTTTTCGAGGTTAGAACACATAATTTAAATGTTTCAATAAACTACGAAAGCATAAGGTGTTGGATCGAAAGATTTAATAATATCACTGGATTAATTCATGTATTTATGTATTCATTATTATACATTCTCAAAAAAGTCAACCAGTTAAATATCTTGACATGGTTAGCTTTCTAAAATAAAATTTTAGTACTTATAACAAAACGTTATATAAATATGCTTTTTAAAATCATGGATCATTTTTGTCGTTATTTTATTCCTTGCCGAATAATATCTTGTTTCACTTTGCAGTGTTTATTAGCTTTTTGCGATATATAATTTGGTCTACTTAGCAGAATTATTAGATGTGGGATGTGAAGAAGCGCAAAAAAAGCTATTGTTTGAGTGAGATTTTTGTTTCCTTATGGAAGAAAAATTTTAAGTAAACATTTTCGATTTTAGTTTGAGCAACAATCTAATTTATTTATCTACTTCTCGCTACCTACACTGCATAAAATAATTAGAGGCTAGTCGGAATTTGCAGTATCTCGGTTGTTACAAACAAGAAAACTGTTCTCGAATGATGTCAATTTCCGATCTCATATCATCGTTTAAGACATTTGAATATTTCACTTTTATAAAAACCCTTTACGAGAATGGAAGACATGCACAGCACAACAAGTTATAGCGAACTTGCTACAAGTGTCTCCAAGTTTTGTTAGCAGAATGTGGAACCGTTTTCAAACAAATGACACTATTACTCCAACATTTAGCCAATGATTATTGGTAGTACCCAACAGATTCACGCAACTGCGATTTATCTATAATGGCTTAAAGCATCTCGTTAAAACAATAAATGTCAATGACGTAACTTCAGTATTATGTAAGTGTACAGATAATTAGACAGGTCTTCACAATATTACTATTTCATTGTCTACTTTCCCGTGTCCTAGGATATGTTTAATAGATATTTCAACCAAAACAGTTGCAGTTCGTTCTGAAGTGGGTGCAAGGCCAAAACATTGCAAATTAAATTTATTTAGTAAGAGTGTTTGCTTGTTTGTTTATAATTAAGCACAAAGCTACACAGTGGGCTATCTGTGCTCTGCCCACCATGAGTATCGAAACCCGGTTTCTAGCGTTGTAAGCCCGCAGACATATAAAAGTGTAGAAAGCATTTTTACTAAAATAATTAAAATTTATCTTGTTTATTCATTTAAAGTTGATATTTTAATTAGTTTAAGAGGGAATCTGTATCTTGTAATAACAACAATATTGCAGC